TTTGGAAAAAAGTTCATGAATTCAAAAAAAGTTCATCGAATTTTAAAAAAATTCATCGAATTTGAAAAAAGTTCATCAAGTTTGGAAAAAAAAGTTCATCCAATTCAAAAAAAAGTTCATCAAATTTGGAACAAAGTTCTTCGATTTCGAAAAACGTTCATCGATTTTGGAAAAGTTCATTAATTTGAAAAATAGTTTATTGAAATGAACAAAAGAAAAAAACACCGAACAAAACCCTTTTGAATAAACAAGAAAAACGAAAAAAATAGACATGAGAAGAAACTAGTGAAGAGGAGGTCGCGGGTTCGATTTCCACCAGACGCATTTGCATTTTTGTGCTTTACAACAGAAACAATGGAACGATGGGCCGGCCCAAGAAGACGCGCGAAGGAGGGAGAGGTGTGCGCCCGTTTGCGCGGTTGCTGGCGCTTCAGGCGCCTGTTATAGGCCATTTTCCTTCCCGTTCCGCGCTTGGGCCAGCGCATATTTTTTTCTCTTAAGGCTAAAAAAAGGGTGCACAGTGATGAATCCGAACTTGGGACCTGAACACTCAGGTAGCAATGCAGCAACCACTTGGGCAATGAAGCAGATGTGACAAATTACATCGTTTTTCTTCAGATTGCGATGCACGCAGTCTTCGGAAGTTTCCCAAACTAGTATTTTTTTCTATTTTTTGGAACGGTTTTGTTCAGTTTTTTATTTTTTTATTTTTTATTTGCTTATATTTTATATATTTATTTTTTGTTTTCTTTTTCTTCGCAAATGCACGAACTTTTATCAATTCTTGCAATTGTTTTTTAAATAGATGAGCTCCTTTCCAAATTTGTGATTTTTTTCAGAATTAATGAACTTTTAATGAAATTTTTGGAATTTTTTAATATTTGAGAAAAAAAATTCAAATTTGATGAATTCTTTTTAAAAATGATGAACTATTTTCGAATTCGGTAAAATTCTTTCAGATTGATGAAATTATCTTTCGAATTGATGAAATTTTCTTTCAAATTCGATGATATTTTTTCAAATCAATGATGTTTTTTTTCAAAATGGATGAACTTTTTCAAATTTTCAAATTTTGTTTTCAAAATCAATTTCAAATTCATAAAATTTTCTTCAAAATTGAGGAACTTGTTTTAAATTTGCCAACATTGATCGAATTCGGTGACCTTTTCTACTTTTTGTGACATTTTTTTATTTTTTTTCCTCAATTTTTCCCCTCTAAAACTCAACTGGTCACAGGCCTCATAAAGAAGCCGGTCAAGTTAGGCGGTCAACCTGGAAGATCCAAGCGAGCGAGCGAAGACCCTTAGCGAGGAGTAATGCTACATCAACGAGGGGTTTATTACGGAGGTTCACTGACGGTTTGACATGGACCATTAGAATTGAAGATTGGA